ATTTTTGTATGTATATACTACTCTTCTATTCTACTGACAAAACAACCATAAACTAACCTTAGACTGGTGCTAATTACATTCCTAGAGCATACCAGGGGAGTTTCTGACTTAAGACATTTGCCCTTATTTTCCTTCTCTGGAGCCCTTTTCCCTAGATACCCACATGGCTATTTATTCTATACCCTTTATCAAATGTCATCTTATCCCAAATACTTTCATGACTGCCTATCTTCCATAGCAAGCCCTTTCCAGACACTCTACAAGCCTTTGCTCTACCTTCCTTCAAAGCTCTCATCTCCTTCTGACATTATATGTTCATGTATCATCTGTTAATTTCCTCATGAAGACGAGAATTTTAGTTTGCTTCTCTCTCTGCTGTATTCTCAATGGCTAAGTCATAGTAGGCATTGAATGTGTACTACCTTAAGACACACGCAGAGAAGTGTGAGTCCATGTGCTAAATGCTCTGGCTGCATTCTTGTATTCAATCCTCACAGCAATCACAGATGTGGTTATGTTTATTATGGTAATTAAATAAATCGGGAAGCTTAAAATTAAATAATTTAAGACAAGACAGCTAGTAACAGCATAAACAGGCCTGAAACTCAGGTGTGATGAAGAAAAGCAAACTCTTAACTTCTGTGACCTGTTCTCTTCATTTTGGTTGATAATCTAGACATAACATACCTGGTTGATATAAGTGTTTTCCTCTAAAACCCTACAGGAAATTGACTATGCAATATAATTATTAATTTGATTTTTAAAAGCTTCTAATGTTAGTCTGAATACCATCGTAATTTAAATTTAATCAATTGGAATACTCATTCTTTCCACTAATTTGACTAATTGAGAGTTACTAAAGAACAGTAAAATATCATAGAACTGAATTTAAATAAACAAATAACTTATTACTTTATAATAAGTGAGATAAATTATGTAAAACAAATGAATTTTATACATTTTCATTGATTGAATAAATAAATGGCAAGCATTGGCATTCAAAATTGGTTAGTTTTCTTTTGTTTTTCCACTTCCCCTCTTGATGTATTATATTTTTACTTATTATTCTGTGGGTTCTAGTTTTATTGGAAAGACTTGTAAGCTATAAAAAGTACTTGAGTTTACAAGTTTAGAAAATTGCCAAACAAGTAACATCACTTTGCATCAGGTCACAGTTATTATCCAAGGACATTTATTAATTGTGTATTTCTCTTTGTTAGATGATATTTTTCTAAGGAGCAAGACCTTTTTCAGGAGCAGAAAGTGGCATTTGACTTTGATATGTATAAATATGCAGATACACATTTCAAGGGCGAGACTTTATAAAGATCTTGTTCTAAAAACTTGCATGACCCATTATATTGTGCTTAAATAGTTATGTTGCTTAATTAAAGACTACTTGACTACATTTTTAGTACAGAAAGAAGTTCCTTACCTTCAAGTATACTGTGAGATTGTCTGGTCACAACCAGAACAGCTTTCCCTAAGCCAATCACCTGTTGAAGGAGATACTCCATCCACTCTTAGCATGAGGTAAGAAACTGGAAGCTCCCATGAGGGAGGAGACTAGAACGGTGATGAAGTTTTGGATCTCTAAACTTCTCAGTCAAAGCTTAAATCATCGTTTTGTGAATTCCCAGAACATCAGTTGAGTTCATACTCACATATAGTACAAAAGCAACTGACAAAGCAACATCAAAGTTTGTTATAGATAAAGCAGTGCCAACCATCCACCTCCTTTGGAAGGGCCTTGTTCATTGTCTAGATTATCTCACCTCTTCTTTGTTCTTCCTGTCCTGCAGGTTGGCATCTTCCTTCCCGATCTCACTAAAGACAGTCCTAGAGAGGACAGCAGACACACCCTAAATAGTCATTCTCAAAGCTCCTTGACCTGCTAACATTCATTCATGGGATCCAGATCAAAAGGGCTCTCAGTTCCACTTTATCTCTTATCTCTTGGTCTGTTCCAATTGATTATCTGCCTCTTTTTTCTTCTTTCCAAATAATAAATTTTTTTAAAAGTTTAACATATGGTTGACATTAAAAATAGTAATCTTCTGGTACTCGAAGCTGAAGACAATGGTTGCCCCGCACTTCACTCTGTGGATATTAGCTTGAATCATGATCATTAAGGCTTCATTATTACTATCTAATAATGACCCTACTCATGCATGAGTGAACTTTGAGTAGTTGCTGATGAACAAACTGAAAATTATTATTACTAGGAAAACCCAAAATGCAAGGAAGCACTAACTAATATATCGTAATTGACAGGATGAGGGGAGATTAGAAGAAGCAGCAGATGATTAGAATGGAGAAGATTTAAAAGGACACAGACAGAGGTAGTAGTAAAACTTTCAACTATTTCCTAAGAAAGAGGCTTAGATTTAAGTAATTATAATTAGATCATGGGACTAAGACTGCTTTACCTATTCAGATGCTTACAGCAAATATTTATTGAAGACAGCTATCGAATGCCAGGAATTACTCTGATTGCCAAAGTTAGACAATGAACAAAATAAACAAAAACCTCTGCCCTGAGAATTCTCACACACTTTATTTCAAATGAGTATTTTGATAGTTTAATAAAAAAGAGTGGGCAAAAAAATAATAAAAAGTATTATTAAAGTATATTGTAAAGATAGAGATATGTTTCTTTAAACAAAAAAAAAAAAAAGAAAAAGAAAAATTGTTCTATGGTTCTATGATTAGTTTGACATCTTTAGGTAAAGAATTTATCTGAAGGTGCTGGACCCGTGACTTTATTCTATGTAAAACTCAGTATTATGTGTGTATGAAAATGTGGCAGGTGTGGTGGTTTTTCACAAATATTTTACTACTGACTACATCACTAAAAAATATAGTTACTAAAAACTGTGTTTACCTAAGATAAAGATAAATTTCATGAAAAGCTGGTAGTCAATTTTAATAAGTCAATTGAGGTGCAAGCTTCAAAGCAGGCACCAGGACACAAGGCCATTGCTGGTGTGTCAGCTTTGGTGCCTCTTACAGTGGGAGGACATCCAGTCCAATGATTGCTGAACACAGATTTTCATGGGATGTAATAAACGACTTTCCCTCTGCACAGATTCTTCAGATGTATTTTTTCAATGTTTGAAATACAGACTTAGAATCGCAATATGGGTACATTGATTCATAACTAAATCAACACATTTTTATTAACACTATATTGCATTTATAACAGCTATTAATTGTGAAATGTAACAAAGTATGAAAATATAACAGAAAGATATTATAACTCAAATTTTGTTGGTGATGACTTTTCTTCTAAAATTTTCTATTTGACACTGCTAATACTAGCGCTTTGGGAAAATTTCACATCCAAAGTGCATGACCCTCTCTGAGAGCATGTTCTTAAAAACAAATTCATTAGAGAGTGATCTGTTAGCATTTAGGAGGGGTCCTTGTTTGTATTCAGTTCCCTGGCAGATGAACTTTTAGATACATGATACACCTACTGAGTTATGAAAGTCAGATAATCTTCATTTATCTTTATTTTTAAAAGGTTGTTTATCTGGACAGTAAATGCCAATATCCTAAAAGTTAATTTTAACAAGTTTATCGATGTATAGTAGGATCACTTTTAGCTATTTCCATAAGTAGTACTAAGCAACTGAAAAGTTGTCTAAAGTCATCCTGTCCTAGTTTTGCATGTCAAGGACTACAGGCACTGTATGTAGTGCAAAGGACATACAGCTAAATTTGGAAAAGATACCGTTGCCAAATTCAAGGAGTTCATGACCTTGGAGGACAGAGAGAACTGTAGATTAATCCTCGCAATTGAGTAAAGAAGTATTATGACGAATAGATATAAGTTATAGTATTGCTAGATCGGTATAAATGGAAGCGAAAAATGTTTAGTTCTGGAAACCACTCAGAGCAAGTTTTAGTGGCTGCTCCTACGCCCCCTACTCATCCTTGCAAGTCAGGGTTCCACTCAGCTTTGTTGCTGAGGCTCCTGAAATAATAATTGACCTGAAGTAGGTTCTCAGCCAGGGGAAAGAAGAAAAGATGACCTTGAAAACATTTTTATCAGTTTGTATGAGAATCTCTACTTAGGAAAATGAAGTAGAGGTTCTCTCATTTTAATTCGTTCCTGTGAAATTAGTTTCGTCTGCTCCTTTTACAAATACCATTTAAATCATCAATGTTAAGACTAGAGTGTAGGCTGACATTAGATTTACAATAAGTGTCTATTGATTTGAAAAAGAAAAAAAAAGACTTATTTCTTAAAGTAGAGGGCAATTAAATTATTTTTATATTCCAAACTAAGTCATATATACTGGAGTATGCAATTTTTATGCTTCACTTGTTCCTTCATTTCAACTTTAAGGTATTTCCTTTTTATTTTTAGAGTAACCATTTCTATTTTCTTTCTTTAAACTTTCAACACTGCTTTAAGTTCCCGTGAGCATAGTCTTGTAGAGAAATTGGTACAGTTTATTGTAAAATAGATTCTAAAGGTTGGAAGTGGCTTGGGAGATCATCTGTTCCAAAATCCCATTTTGAAGTTGGAAAAACAAAGCTATAAGAGTTGAAATCATGTCTTCAAGGTCACACAGAGTACAGTATAGCTAAAATGTTGACTCTGGTTGAATTCTACTTTACTGCGCTGTCCTCTATCTTACAGCATCTGAGCACAACTAAATGTACATAGAGACTCTGTACAACTGAATGTTCGTGAAGACTCCGAGTCAGAATGGGGCTTGAAATGGACTAATTTGACACTGACATTGCCCATGTTGCTATCATCCATTAGACACTGGTGAATAGTAATGCCTTCAGAAACAGCACTGTAAAATGTTCTGGTGCAACACTGCAGATACCAGACAAAGGTGCTAAGGACTGAGCAGAAGAGTCCATGCACCACTATTGATCATGACCAGATTATAGCTAACCTGAAGTTCATATGAATATTAATGTCTGTACCCCACTGATGAAATGTTGTAGAAAATAATATCGTTTCTACATATTTCCAGCTAGGACGTGTGGATCAAATCTGCGTGGACCCAGTGGCATCATCACCTCCCCTAACTACCCAGTTCAGTATGAAGACAACGCACACTGCGTGTGGGTGATCACCACCACAGACCCTGACAAGGTAAGTCTGCACTCCTGCAGGCGTAGTGCTTCAACAGGGCCAGCTATTGAAGCACACGACCTGGAAAAGCCCTTATGTCTTACCATGTGAATTAAACAGTCAATGCTGCATGATGTGTCTGGATACCCTCACTCATAGGAAAGTCATCTGAATGTTCTCAGCGTGGTCCCTTTTTGCAGTCTGGAGATTGAGTTTGTGTTCTTCCTTTGCATATCATAATGCTTTTTATATATGCAATGTCTTTCTCAACTCAGGTCTCAACCTTTCTCAGACACTTTGCTTTCTTAAATACCACAGCATTTCTGCACAGTACTACCAGGTATTCGAGATGCTCTGACTACACCCAGACACAAAAATACTGTGGTTTTCTAAATAACTATTCATGGTTTTCCTATCACGATCCATATAAGAGTTTCCCAAAAGTAAACAATATCAGCGTGTTTTTTTTTTCATTTCTTGCCTTAAAATATGTTGAATAGAATTTATATTTTACCATGGAGTAGTAAAATAGAGCAACATCATGTTATTTCTTTATAGGTTTCGCCTTATATTTTACAATTTTGTTTCTACATTTTAAGTCATAAGCCAACAAAGCATATTCATAGTCCTGTTTCATTGGCTATAAAATGAATTTTCTTTACCTAACTTTAAGATGCCTACCTGTGAAAAGAAAAAAAAGATTGATTTTATTTGTTAAAAAATGTCAGGAAATCATTTATGGGCATGAATTTCACTAAAATCAGTGATATTGAAAGTATATTTATAGTAATATTAAATTTATTGAGGCCCACTATTGGCCAATTATTGGGTTATTTCCAATAGTTCTGTGGCTAAAATAATCACCTCTTCATTTTTATATTTTATTAAAATACTTATCATGTTTACATACTTTCCTCTAAAAGCTATTCAGTTCTCAAATCTAAAAACAGAAAAGTTCTGATTTTATGTTCAATAAAGTGTTCATCACAGATGCCTTTTGGTTTTTGTAGTCTTATTTTAGTTCTAGAAATCTCAGTTATTGCTTATGTAAAAATACAAGCTTTAGATAAACAGGACCAGGTAAGGACTCAGAGTGTTGTAGGCTTTCTTCCTAAATACTGAGGAATTTTTTGGCTGTCATTGCTGTGGCAAAAACCTCCAAGCCTTAATTACAGTGCTTCTCAATATGATAGAACTGTGTAGTACCCCAGTATATCAGATATCAGCTATACTAACATTTGTATTATATAGCTATTCAATATTTTTCCTATATGCTATTCAATGGTTTATTTATTCAATTTCTTGCAAAGAACTTACTATTTTCCCATTCTTGTTCTAAGTGTTCTGTGAGTAGATGCCTAGTCTGCCACTTAATAGTTGCATGACTATGGGCAAGTTACTTCCCTGGGGCTCAGCTACCACAACTATAAAAGAGATAATAATATTATTGACCTTATAAGGTGATTGTGAAAAATAAATAAGTCAATATGTGTGCTTAAGTGAGTAAAATATGATCTTCTATTAGAAGCTAGTAACACTAGCAGTGGTAATGTAAGCAAGCATAAGATAAGTAGAAAAAATTTAACAACTTGATAACTATTTACAAAACCATTGCATTAAGTTGTTTATCAAAGAGTTTTATTTCAATCTGAACTAAAAATATATAGTGTATTACTCATTTATACAGAGTTATGTTTATTAATTTCTGCACCTGTACACTTTTAAATCATTAGAATATTTTGTTTGGTCTCCAAGAAGTTAAGACATATGATACTGAGAATTGAGACAAGTTTCTCAGGTTAAGTAGTATAATTTAAGGGAAGAAATGCTAAAACAGTTGGGTTTGTTTTGAAGGCATATTAGGTGTTGAATTGAAATAAGGCTAAATAGACTACATCCATTTCTATTGAGGATCAATTTCAAAAAGGTATTTTTTATTATAGTGTTTGGGATGTGATTGGGACCAAAAGTGTCTGATTGGGACATTTATGAAATACTGAAATATGTTACTTCTGCAGTATAAGACATAGGAGAAACTCTTTTCTTTGTTGCTGTTTTGAAAAACAAAATATTTAAAAGGATTCAATTGGATTAAACCAAGGGACTAGGTTAGATAGCTTATATATGCTCCACGTGGTTCTGGGAGAATTGCATTAATCTATCACAAATAAACCAATGTATGAAAGTAGAAGAGTCATACAGGAGATGTACAGTAACAGGAGACCCTCCGGGCAGTGTCGTCTGCATCTGCTGCCTACTGTGATTGCACCAAGTCCATCCTTTCCCTCCTCCCTCCCGTGAGGACCCTTTACTATCACAGAGCCCCCACTGCTCCTGGAACCTCCTGCTTTCTGCCCAGGGCTTGGAAGCCTGCAGAAGTCCTCATTGTCTTTATAGCACAGCGCAGCCTGGGGTGAGAATGAGCTTCCCCCACCTTCCCCATTGGAGAACAACACAAACACACCCATCTAATGGGTCCCAGGTAGAAAATTCTGCGGTGAATTCTCACAGCTCTGCATGCATCCCCAGTAGGAAGAAGCAAGTGTCTGCAGGGAAGCTGGCTCAATATCCCATTCATGGATGGTCTTTCCTTCCATCTCTTCTCTTGTTTCCCTTGGGATCAAATGAATGGGCTGCCAGCAAACAAGGTTCTGCTTTTTGGGAAAAAACCTTGGATAAGACAAACATGCACACTGGGAACAATATAACTCCTTCCTATAGACCTTTCCTGATGGCATTTTAGCAGGAGGGTTGGGAGGAGGAGTTTGGAATCCACTACGGTACTCCAAGTGAGAAATGATAAGGTCTGAAAGGGAGCAGACACCTGGTAGTGGAGCAGGAGACATCATCTCAGAACTGCCTCACACAGAGACTCTGAATGACTTGGTGACCAGTCTAGGATACAGAGATAGAGGGAGGAATAGTCAGAGGCTACTGATCCCCTTGTTGGACATTTATCTCAGCAAGCACTGTGACTTGCCTCTAGTGGGTACTATGAATGCTAGGAAATAAAAAGAATCAAGAATTACATTGAGGATGTGTGAAGAAACCCCTACAGGTATGAGCACACGTTCTAGTCCCCAGGGGAGCTGAGGCATAAAATTCTGTCCTTGCACAATTGCTAATAATGCTTCCATTTGACTGCCAAAATTGTCTCAATTTGGACCTGTAGATTATATATTCTCTCTACCTTTAACCAGGAAACGGACCCCAGAAACCACATTTTTTTATGGGAGATGACTTTGGTTTGGGGCACAATGATAGTGAGATGCCTGCTGTCCATCCAAGTAGGTAGAACAGGTAAAAGCAAATTTGGAATTCACAGGCATATTGTTGGCTGATGAAACCAGCAGTTTGGATGATGGCATACAGAAAGTAACACAGAGTCAGAGGATTCTATGGTAATGGCATGGCATTCTCTCAAGTTTATTTGGAAGCGTATTTGGCCTCTACTAGATTGCGAATGATTTTCCAAGTATGAACGTCATTAGAGTTTTAAAATACTGAAGTCTGTTGTCATAAAGTGGACTACCCATGGTGTTTCAATTCGGAAGACAGGGCCTCCAAGCTAGATCTTCAGAGGTTTGATTAAGATCTTTTAAATATTTTCAAAATTCATTTAAATCTAGATTACATGTGAATAATTATAAATATTTGCATTCTACATGAAAAATGTGCCTATAGCATAGTTGAGTCTCTTCCAATCCTACACATACTAGAATAACTGAAATTCTATCTATAAAGAAGCTTAGGGTTTCTATTGTTTAAGTCTCTTACATGGCAAAGACCAAACCAGGATCCAGGGAAGTTAAATTCCTTCTCTTCCCACTGAGCTGTGACAGTACTTCCTTAGATTGCTTGCTTTCTGTAGAAAGTTTTTTTTTTTCTTCTGTAGCTTTCTATTCTGTTATCACTTTGATGAACACCACAGGAAAGAGATTATTCAGTGTATCAACAGAATGTTTTTGACTATAGGTAACAGAAGAACCAACTAAAAGCCCAGAGTTTTAGGGACACAATTTCATGTAACAAAAGGGCAGAGGCAGGGAGATTCCAGGTCTTATTCAGTAGCTAGTTGACATCATTGAGGCACAGATGTCTACCATTTTTCTTGCCCCTCTCTCCAGAGCAGAGATGATATTTCTCCTCAGTTCTCAAGATGACTGCAACAGCCCTAGAATTTAGTTACAGATAAAATCATATGCAATGAGTGAGGTATTTTACTCAGAGATGGAAGAAACATTCTCTAGAATTTGCCTAGTAGATTTCCTTCAGATCCTATTGAGTCAAATGTTCATGGTCTGGCTCCCAAAAGCCTGAGGAGAAAAGTATCTGGAAGCCAGGGGGAAGGGGCTGATGGTGAGTTTGTGGGTGACCAGTGGTGTCTACCGCATCAGGTAAGCAAAACACGATAGAAAGTGGTTGGAAGTATTATAAGTTTATCTTTTGCTCATGATGCATTTCAAATCATCTTATCTTCCTCTTTACCAGACTCTGGTTGGCTAACGTTAGTTAAAACTCATGAGGTATTTTATATGTTATTCTGAAGTTTATTTTTAAATGTATCCAAACTGTAAAGTGACAAATAATTTAGGCTGTTGGGGATTATACCTTTCTCTTCCCTCATTTTCCAAATTTCGCTTTTCTCTGCCATTGTGTAGGTTTATGCAGATTTTGTGTAAATTTTGTCGATTCTGAGAACTTAATAATGAACAAGTTAAATTTCTGGACCATTATGTTATATTGCTTCAGAAAGATATTTGCCTTCCATCATTTATCTTGGAGAAATGTTCAGAGAAGGAGCAAGGTATTCCAGGTTGACATATACGCACACACCAATACTCTTAGCAGAGCACCACTTAGACACCTGAAGGCATCTCAATTAAGCAGAATTACCATCCAAATTAAGCAGCAGCCATTGCTATTAAGCATAATTAGTCTTAATTTGATTCCTTGGGAGACATTCCAAATAAGCGGGTTTCCCGATTAAGTGCACGGTGATGAAAGTATATTACGTATTG